TTCAGAAAAGCGGACATGTCTTGATACAAGAACGAAATATCTCTCTACTTCCTCTCTGTGCAAACATTTCTAAAAATCCCCGTCTGAAAATAAACGAATACAAAATCCTAGTTTATAAATAAAATAATATTCTTCTCTTTCACAATGACATTTGAGTTAAATAAAAATCTTTCTATAAAATACCTTCTCGATTATTACACATTAAAAAATTGAATTCAACAATATCGATATCTCGCATAAAAATACAACCGTATAGCACAATAAAAGAAAGCTTTCTCGTTTATCTTCTACGAATTCGTTTGACTCGAACTGAAGATGAGACTACTTGGGATAATGGACATTTTTTCTGATTTTTAACTACTGTTTCAGGTTCCTTTGAGCTTGTGGTATCAGCAACAGAAGCAATATCCCCGCCACTGACCTCTTCTTCTTCTTCTACTTTCTCTTCTTTACTTGCACTATCGTCTTGGCTTTTCTTCTTCTTATCGTCGTTTTTCTTTTGTTTCATCATTGAACATTTTTTACTTTTCAGATGAGCATAAAAATTAGATAACTGAAAAAATTTTCGGGTCTTAAGTTTAAATAAGTTTAGTTTAACACCATAATTACAACGGATTGATGCTTCCAAATTCTCAGTATCGTCATTTATGTAGAGTTTATAATCATCAACAATTGATAAAGACAATTCATCCAAACCTATCGATTCTTTTTCTCTCTCACACCACGTATCTATCGTTTTAATGATCTGATTACGATGTTCATGTTCAGTAATGGTTGTTGAAGGTGGTATGGTTGGGCTCGTTGTCGACGATGAGAGTAATTGAATAGAAGATACCGCTAATTGATTAGAAGATGAAGAAGGTACTTGAGTGAATGGTAATTGAAGTTGAGATCGTACAGTAACACTTCTTGATTTAGCTTTAAGCTGCGTCAAATGATCATCAAATTTACTACGAAATAATTCAACCACATAGCTGCTCCGATAACCAGGTTTTACTATAAAGGGAATAATAGCTGTAAAAAAGAACAATCTAAGCATAGCCACAATAAGACTCAGGTATTAAAGAAGGCTTTGTATAGAAAAAAATAATACTCAACGTTCATAAAAGTTAAAAGACATGAACTTTTGAATTTCTCATGGAATATTTTATTACACGATTAATATACAACAGCGGAGTAACTGTTTAAGTGGCATGTTTACATCGAAAGTTGAACTGATCGTACGTCCGACGTGCTGCATTCTGCTGATTTTTGGAAATGTGTACTGTTAAAGTAACATCAATTTTTTAAAAGATTACTCTACTACTTATGCGTATGCGATATCATTTATATGATTTTCATGTCTCAGTCAAAACTTGCCCTGCAAAAAATCATCAAATTTTTCTGCTAAGCTATAAATAGAGTAAATAAGATTACTTCAAGATTCTAAATTATTATTTCTGATCACTAGTATCTAACTGTCGTTGATTTATAGTTTAAAATCGAAATTGTTTTTTCTCATTTTGTTTTAAACTATATTATCAGAAGTGGGTAAATATTGTAATCGTCCAGAACACCTGTAATTTTCGTCCTTTAATCGTAAATTTTTTTTTCTCAACATGACATCGGTAATCGATGTATGATGTCAAATTTTCTTGTGTGAGCCTCGGAAGACATTTATTAAAGCTATACTTGGCTTGAAATTTATACAACCTAAAAAAAATATTTTTCAATCGATTTTATGATTTCTTCATGTATAGGTCATTTTCTTTTCATTTTTTTTCTTTATCAAACTTTTTACTATACTTGGTAAATCCGCTGTGCTCAATGATAACTCAGTGAATATAAATTTCTAACTGTACGTGTTTCTATCATGTATTTCAAGAAACATTTCAAGATAGTCTGCTTGTACTTATGAGAGTACTCTCCGGATACTGCAAGCAATTTTCCTCAGATATCGTGGAGTACTACTTAAATCTGTTTCTCAGATTACTGTAACTGGAACGACGCAAAATATTCTCTTCAATCGCTAATTGCACTATGATAATTAGCTAACTAAACGAAAAAGCTTTCATCTGCGCGGCTATCCTTTTAACCTTCATTTCTTTTCTTAACTTGTTGCACTTCACTCTATATGAAAGTATTTTTCCGTCGTACAAAAACAGAAAGCATTGCTAATTCGTATTAAAATACATTAAGCTCATTACGTAAAAACAGTTATTTAAAAAAACTAGATTATTAAAGGGAGTAGACGTGTTTAACTTTCAACATAATTTATTCTTGGTACTCAAGAACAACGATTTCATCAAATAAGTCTAGTTTCTATAAAACAACAGAATAAAGAAAAACTGTTGGAAGAGAGTAATAAACAGAAGTTTACGCGCAAAACCCGAGTTTCATCTCTTTCTGAAAAACTAGAGTTCGCACATGATAAAAAAACAGACTAGAACTCAACACGGAACGTCAAATCAGAACATGTATACTGTTTTTTTTCAACTTAATCTCTATGGTAGAATTTGCTGTGACTTCTATACATGATTCATAACAGGAGTCCGATCATTAAGTGATTTTTCCTTTTTTATTTATATTAGCAGAAAACTGTAATCTTGTCCGTTTCTCATTTGTTGAATATATTAGAAATTTTCTGTCGTCAAAGGAAAGAGTGTGGCTATGTGCTGGTCATATCACTATGAGATATACTTACCTTTAGCACTTTGATTTGATAGTTGAAGAGAGAGATAACACAAAAATGGAAGTAATTTTCCTTTTTCAGTGAAATTAGTTAGATGTTTTAAAAGATAGTGAGATATGAGATGTTTTGCCTGTTCCATGCGAAAAAAGCTTATTAGCACAAACCTTGGATCTAAAGTGTAAGTCCTCCATTCAAACGTGAAGGACTAGGGTGGGGCTATATGAAACCCATGCCTCGAGTGTGTACGTTTACATTAATTTGCTTTAATTGGATTAAGATGTGTGCCTTATTTTTATCTGCCAATGGATTTTTAAACGAAATGAACGATCCAATTATGCATCATGCATTCCATACTCCATAATGTCATAAGACATATAATTGAACGCCACCGATTAATATACGTTTACTCGCTCAAATTTATCCGTGTTAGCTTGTGCTCGTCCGCGTACAGGCTCAATAAAATTTTCAGATTTCCAACATAATCTCTTTGTACAAACTTTCACTCCTTGTTCTCCCTCTTTCAGAGAAATTCAGCGGAGGAGTTACACAAAACTACGATGTTACGGCATCAGAATACCTAAGCATGAGAAAAAATCTTTCATTTCGTGTTTAGCAACATTTCAGACCCAAAAATTTAGTTATTAACTAACCGTCTTTTCATGCTTGGATAGCACAATAAGAACAAATTATAAAACATTCAAGAATTTAATATTAATAAAAACAAAATCAGGATTAATTATTTTGAATACTTGGAATTAAATAGATGATCTGAAATCTGTTATATTTGCTAGTAATTTGAATACATGAATAAATGTGTGTTTATGTTCATAGAGCTCCGAATTTTGTTGACGATGGTGCAAACGTTGGGTATGGTGGTGGTGGCGGTGGCGGTGGTAGATAAGGCGGATAGTTTGGATTCATAACGCTTGGTGGATATTGTACTGGTTGTGATTGATAATACATTGGCTGTGTTCGTTGTCTTTTTGCTCTTTTACATAAACAGATAATGAGAATAATACAAAATAGAACAATTACTACACCACCTACAATACTAACAAAGAATTTGTTCATCTATTTCATCATTCTTAACCTTTTGTTTTGTACTGTCACTACTACACCTAACATTGCTATGAATTTTGCTGCAAATTGATGTGTCATAATTGTGAAGCGTAATTATTCAACGTAGTGATAGTAATTATTAGACCAGTTGTTGATAATGAGTTTGCTGCATTTGACAATGACGAATAAGCCATGAGTTGTTGTCACTGTTTGTATGGATTCTATCGTTTCCTAATAATGAAACGAAAGAGAGATTCGAAAACTGATGACGAAATATCATGATGTTTAGGTTAACATTAACATATTAACACTTCTCTTTTTTTTTCTTTTGTTCCATTCTCCATTTACTTTGATTAGAAAGTCAACAGGAAACTTTTCAATTGCAAAAAACTAATTAAAAGAAAATTTCGTTCATGAATTTTATAAAATCAATTTTCATCACTAATGAGTTTAAGTATGGAGTTGTACTTGTTTAAAATGGCTCATCAGTAAATTAAAAATCAATTTCTCATACGGATAACTTCGAAGTCAAGACTAAATCTGCAACCAGAATGGGTAACGTCTAGACTTCATTTGTTACGTCATTTCCATCCCGTTTTCTTTTGGCTCTACTCAGTTTCTACTTCTTCTCAATTATTATGTTAACAAGAAACTAACGTTTTCTGCCCTCGTCGTTAATAAACTAAA